TGTTTGTCTGTTTCTTTTATGGATTGGTTTGTTTCATTTTTGTTTCGTTGCTTTGCCTTGCTTTGTTTTGCTTTGCTTAATTGTTTGTCGTCTATTTGCCTAAGACTGTGTTTTTCTATTGTTTTTCTTATTTTTATTTCCCCCTGTTAAAGGGAGTCAACACCAAGAAACTTGAGCAACTGGAGGGTGTTAATTTGATTGGTTGGTTTGCGTTTTATTATTTGGTTTGTCTTGCGGCGTTGTTTGTTTTTATTTGGTTTGGGATGAGAAGGCCATATCAATCGGAGGACGCCCCAAATGTGCGTTTCAAGGGAGCAGCCTGTGAGTTTGAGTAGGTCCTCTGCGTCAATCCGAAGTAGACATTAGTTTAGCAGTTGAAGCACTAGCTCCTTGCAGGATTTGGCAGAATATGTTTAAACACCTGAGGGCAAACGAAAGGCATGAACGTGTTTAAAAAGGGATTGGCCCAACCCTCCTGTCCACCCCGCCCTAGGTACTGGGACGATTTCCTGCGCCGACCGGAGATCCGCTCGGCCCTGAGTGCAGATAAACCCGATGGCAGTTGGCAGGGAACAAACATCCAACTTGCAGCTGGATCCAACCATGGAAACCGACCCATTCAGCTCTGATAAGTATCTGAAAGCAGATGACTCGGAACTTCCGTGGCCATATGCAGGGATTGGTTGTAAACCAAAGGATCGCCCTTGCGAGCAGACTCTCCCCTGTCCTCCGTTGCTTTGAGGTGGGTCTGCTTGCAGCATGCGCCAAAGCTAAAAACAAAACCGCGCAACATGTGAACTTTTGGATGGTAGTCTTTCTCCCACACCTCGTAGAAGCAGCTTGCATGCAGGATTGCGCTGAGTGGTTTTGCCAATTGCGGCTCTGTGCGTGTGTGTGGGTGAAGCAGTGCCGTTGGGTTCAATAAGTGACCTTGCAGGTCAGGTGTCATTTGTGCGCGGGCTGATCTGACCAAACGCCTCTCTGCCAGCGCTCTCAGAACTCGACGGGAACCCCGGTCACAGGGAAGTGGGTTTGTGTTGGAGGGTTGGTTTCTCCTTAAGCAACTGCCCCAAAGTTGGCCAGCTCCAACAAGGCACCCCGGGACCCTGGCCCTTGGCACGCTTGGCCACTCCAACACTCAGACCTCGAGTCGCTGAGGCCGGAAGCGGCAGTGCCTCCGGCCCGAGCTGAGCCGGACACACACCTTTGGAGAGCAGGGCGTGTCCAAGGGCCAGTTCTACAAGACGCAGCACGGAAGAAATGCTCGACGTGCGGTGTGGGTGCGGTATCAGGTGCATTTCTGTGCCAGGGTTGCATTGTGTTTTGCATTGATGGGGGCAAGTGCTCACGTGCGCGCGCACTTGCGCTGTTCCGGGCGAGCTCTAGATCACGCAAGGTCCTCTTGACACAAAGCGAAGCGACTCTTGGCGTCGAGGGCGCTTTCGAGTTTTCATGGATGGAATCCCGAGGCACCTGGCCGGCAACCTGCTGAACAGCAAGCAGCTGGACTGGAGCGCTGTGAGCCTGGCGCACGTGGCCACCCGGGCCAACTTCGAGGCCTACCTCACGCAGCAGGCTCGTCGCGTTTTAATGTGCCGGACATGGAAGCCTGGTGCTCTGGGCTCACCCGGCTCCGCAGACGTTGACGTGGGTTTGTAAATAGTGACTCTTCCTTCGAGTGGCGCTTGGCCCAAACGCATGCGGCTCTTGTGCATGAGTTGTGCGCTTGGCCAGGTCAAATCTGCCAAGCTGTTGCCCCTGGAAGATTCCGGCAAGCTGCTGGACGCTGCAGTCGCCTTCCGCTATGATGATAAGCAGTGGAAGAATCCTTGGCTGCAGTTTGGAGGGAAGCAAACAGGCACCAGCAACAGCTTCAGGGGATATTTTCTGACCCAGCCCTATGCAGATGCCAGTTTTGCTGAGTGTGGGGTCAGCAGCCCGGAATGGCATGTGGCTTGTGAATTGCGAGCTTGGTCAACATACCGCAGGCATTCCTTGGCTGGATTGTACCTTGGTCGGATTGTACCTTGGTCATCGCTCCAATGGAGCTATGTATGAAGGTGGCTTGTTGCGAGTTGCGAGGGAGTGGTGCACATTGTAAGGCCTTGAGGACCAAACAGCATCGCACATCTCCCACAACCAAGCCGACCTACAACACAAGTAATTAATCTAGATCCGGTGCTATCCTACCAACTGGGAGCGATCCAAATCCTGCTAGCCCCAAATGAGGAGTCCCTATTTGAGACATGCCCATGGCTCCAAGGAGCGTGGCACAACGCTTTGGGCTCATGGAAGACGAGAAGGCCGCCTGCAGAGATACACATTGACACCTCAAGCGCGGTTGCTTTTCACAGAAGTGTAGCATTCTTGGGCTGGGCTCATGCTCAGACCGGAATTTGGATATGTGCGAACGGTGCGTTTTTTTTTTTTTTTTTCTTGCAGGTGCCCCAGTGTAATAGCACAACCCAGGACCAGCCAGCCTACCTGATAGTTTTCTTTTCTGGCTAGCCCACGAACCAGCCCCTGTCCAAAGCCATCCGCAAATCATGTTGTCCCCAATGCAGCCCAATTGTCAACTGTTCGGTGAAAGGCCGGCTGTTGTCCCCATGTTGTTGCAGAAACCATTTGCGGTGCCCTCACTTGCGCTCAGTTTCGCAGTGCCTGTGCTCTAACAAAGCCTATTCGGGGCTAGGGTTCCTTTGGGATTCCAACAAAGTCTTTTGGGAGTTAGCACCCCTTTCTTCTTTTTTTGAATTGACAAACAAGGGGGACAACCACCCAACATGTGTGTGCGTGTTTTGGGGATTCCCTAAACAACATACACCCTGTTTGTGTGGTTTAAGGGGAAAAAGGAGAGAACAACACACCGACTTTTCGGGGGTTCCCTACACGTCACACACCTTTTCTTTGTGTTAAATCTGAAAAAATAAAGAGAGAGAGAGAGAGAGAGGAAAACCACACAACATGTGTGTAAAGGACATAACTCATTTGTCTCCTTTCTTGCGGGCCCAAGTGGGGCGCTTCGAGTACCGCTTAGATAGCTTTTATAGCCAAAAGCTGGCCGTGCACATGCATACTTCGCATCCTGTTTTCGTACTCAATCGTGTCGTGCTTTCCAAGGTTGCGCTGCATGAGTGCGCTTCGCGCACTACTTTCATACTTGAGTTGCGGTTTCAAGTTTAGCACTGACATGTTTTTAGGGGATATTGAAGCAACACCGATAAGTTGCCTGACAAATGTTGGCTCGTATGTAGGATCGGGTAAGAAAACTTTGTCCCTAGGATAGTGGAGTCAAGAATAGTGAAAATGGGAGGAGAAGTTGGCGGGTGAAGTTCGCAGCCGTTTTTAGTGCCCCTCGCACGCTTCCGGAAAATGAGTAGTCAAATGTCAAACGCTCAGGCTTCTGCCCCTTGGGCTAAGTGAACCTTGCCTTCGGAGCCCCTGCTGTCCACCATATTTCCAGGAGAACCCCACAGTTGAAGCATGTTGAAAGCTTGGAACGCTTTGTTGCAAGTAGGAAGTATGATGTCCCGGAACTCGTTATATCTTGTGCGCTGGGTTTACTTCACCATGGCTCGCGTTGTTCAAGAGTCGCCTGGGTCATCAACAAGTATGCCTTCTTCCACCGAATGGCGTGGGGGTGTTGGAGGGAGTTTGTTTGCATCAAGCTTTTCACAGACAAAGCCCATCCGGGCTCCCAACCAAGTTCTGCCAGTGCCTTTAAGAAGCCACTAAGCCTTTGTGGCAAGACACTAGATTATCACCATTCATCATAGTAGGCTTTCATTTGCATTATGGAAAGTAACGTAAAACAGGGGGAAAAAAAAAAACATGTCATTGGAGCATCGTGCCAATTGGCTTGATTTCTAATTTGGCGCATCCGTCGTGTTTGCGCCCAGGCCGGGGTGCGGCGGGGCAGCTTTCGGGGTGTGGTGCCCTTCTCCTGGCATCGGCGGCCGGCCTTCTTGGTGGAGAGCTGGCCGCTGGTCCGTTCAGAGCCGTGAACGGACACGGTTTCCACGGGACATGGGATGTCCCGAGGCGGTGCTCACTTGAAGCAAAAGCCGCGTCGTGGTGTGGAGGGGCATGTTGTTGTTGGTAGTTGCTTTTGTGGAGCTCTCATCTCTTGAAAGAACACCCAACTTGTTTTGCTTGATTTGCTTGGATGGGTAGACGGGACGGGTTCGTAGAGTTGAGCTTCCCTGCCACTTGCTCCCCAATGCGCGGGTCAAAGAAGATAGGTGTGGCCGAGAAAAGAAGGGCCAGGCTGGAATGCTACTGCTACTGCAGGGCGTGGCATGATGTTTTGAGCCGCCTAGTGGATATGGCCCTGGGAGATACTTGTGCGAATTAAGCTGGCTTGGTCCCAGCAAACATGACTCAACATCAACCTAGACGTGTTCCAGCCTACAATCTGAGAGTTGGGAATAAGGGCTTGGCTTGGTGCGCCTTCACGTGCACGACTCGATTTGTTGGGCATACCTCCGCATGCCGCTCGTCGTGCCGCAGCCGATTTATTGAGATTTGCCCGACCAGCGTCCAGCGTGTCTTCAATTGCTCAGGCTTGGGGTTGGGGTCGGAGAGCGCGTGGGGGATCCCCAAAGTATTCCGCCTCAAGGACATTCATTCGGGTAGAATAGAGGCTAAAACCCTGTAAAGCGAAGGTGACCCTCGAAACCGAAGCCTGCAGAGATATATTCCACGTTTCAATTTGGGAGACAGCTCGCTTTGCCGGCGGCTAAGGGGACAAGGAACCGTAGACTAGTTGCAGGGCCGTAATCGACCTGGCAGGCTTAGCTGGCAAAGATGGGTAGGATGGTCGGACTTTGGCAAACATGTGCGCACCATACGGCCCAGGCTTCCAGTTTTCACATACCTGGTAAACTTAAATCTGGGCTGGTTGATTTCCTCGAAACAAGAGGGGGGTTGTGGTGAAATCCACCTCGGGTTTGCAAATCAGAACCCTGATTGGACAGCACGCCGCAGCAGGCCACGTGCGCCAAGTGCGCACCATACTTCGTCGAACCGAGCCCGGAACGTCAACGATGGCACCGGCACAGGACGATGGCATTCTGAGGTTGACGACCTGAAGTTAGGAAAGCCCGTAGTTCACAGAAGTGTTTGTGAGGAATTGTAAGGCTTGCAGCTCTGAATTGTGGCTGTCCGGAGGTGCACTGGCTAGGGCAGCAAGAGCATGCCTCTCAGAGCAAAGAGAAGGCTTAAGGAAGAAGAAGAAGAAGAAGTGTGCGTGATTGTGCGTCTGTGAGTGTGTGTGTGTGTGTGAGTGCGTAAGTGAGTGAGTGAGTGAGTGACTGAGTGACTGAGTGACTGAGTGACTGAGTGAGTGAGTGAGTGAGTGAGTGAGTGACTGAGTGACTGAGTGACTGAGTGACTGAGTGACTGAGTGACTGAGTGACTGAGTGACTGAGTGACTGAGTGACTGAGTGACTGAGTGACTGAGTGACTGAGTGACTGAGTGACTGAGTGACTGAGTGACTGAGTGACTGAGTGAGTGAGTGAGTGACTGAGTGATTGAGTGACTGAGTGACTGAGTGACTGAGTGAGTGCCTGAGTGACTGAGTGACTGAGTGACTGCGTGACTCAGTGACTGAGTGACTGAGTGACAGTGACTGAGTGACTGAGTGACAGTGACTGAGTGACTGAGTGAGTGAGTGACTGAGTGACTGAGTGACTGAGTGACTGAGTGACTGAGTGAGTGAGTGACTGAGTGACTGAGTGACAGTGACTGAGTGACTGAGTGACTGAGCGACAGTGACTGAGTGACTGAGTGACTGAGTGACTGAGTGACTGAGTGACTGAGTGACAGTGACTGAGTGACTGAGTGACTGAGTGACTGAGTGACTGAGTGACTGAGTGACTGAGTGACTGAGTGACTGAGTGACTGAGTGACAGTGACTGAGTGACAGTGACTGAGTGACTGAGTGAGTGACTCAGTGACTCAGTGACTGAGTGACAGAGTGGCAGAGTGAGTGACTGAGTGACTGAGTGAGTGAGTGAGTGAGTGACTGAGTGACAGTGACTGAGTGACAGAGTGACAGAGTGACAGAGTGAGTGAGTGAGATGAGTGACTGAGTGACTGAGTGAGTGAGTGACTGAGTGACTGAGTGACTGAGTGACAGAGTGAGTGAGTGACTGAGTGAGTGAGTGACTCAGTGAGTGACTCAGTGAGTGAGTCACTGAGTGACTGAGTGACTGAGTGACAGAGTAAGTGACTGAGTGAGTGAGTGAGTGAGTGAGTGAGTGAGTGAGTGAGTGAGTGAGTGAGGGAGTGAGTGAGTGAGTGAGTGAGTGAGTGAGTGAGTGAGTGAGTGAGTGAGTGAGTGAGTGAGTGAGTGAGTGAGTGAGAGTGACTGAGTGACCGAGTGAGTGAGTGACTGAGTGAGTGAGTGACTCAGTGAGTGAGTGACTGAGTGACTGAGTGAGTGACTGAGCGAGTGAGTGACTGAGTGAGTGAGTGACTGAGTGAGTGACTGAGTGACTGAGTGAGTGAGTGACAGAGTGAGTGAGTGACTCAGTGAGTGAGTGACTGAGTGAGTCAGTGACTGAGTGAGTGAGTGGCTGAGTGACTGAATTAGTGAGTGACTGAGTGAGTGAGTGACTGAGTGACTGAGTGACAGAGTGACAGAGTGAGTGAGTGACTGAGTGAGTGAGTGACTCAGTGAGTGAGTGACTGAGTGACTGAGTGACTGAGTGACAGAGTGAGTGAGTGAGTGAGTGAGTGAGTGAGTGAGTGAGTGAGTGAGTGAGTGAGTGAGTGAGTGAGTGAGTGAGTGAGTGAGTGAGTGAGTGAGTGAGTGAGTGAGTGAGTGAGTGAGTGAGTGAGAGTGACTGAGTGAGTGAGTGAGTGACTGAGTGACTGAGTGACTGAGTGACTGAGTGACTGAGTGACTGAGTGACTGAGTGACTGAGTGAGTGAGTGAGTGAGTGAGTGAGTGAGTGAGTGAGAGTGACTGAGTGAGTGAGTGACTGAGTGACTGAGTGACTGAGTGACCGAGTGACCGAGTGACTGAGTGACTGAGTGACTGAGTGACTGAGTGACTGAGTGGCTGAGTGGCTGAGTGACTGAGTGACTGAGTGACTGAGTGAGTGAGTGACTGAGTGACTGAGTGACTGAGTGAGTGAGTGAGTGAGTGACTGAGTGACTGAGTGACTGAGTGACTGAGTGACTGAGTGAGTGAGTGACTGAGTGACTGAGTGACTGAGTGAGTGAGTGACTGAGTGACTGAGTGACTGAGTGACTGAGTGACAGAGTGAGTGAGTGACTGAGTGACTGAGTAACTGAGTGAGAGTGACTGAGTGACTGAGTGACTGAGTGAGTGAGTGACTGAGTAACTGAGTGAGTGAGTGACAGAGTGAGTGAGTGACTCAGTGAGTGAGTGACTGAGTAACTGACTGAGTGAGTGACAGAGTGAGTGAGTGACTGAGTGACTGAGCAACTGAGTGACTGAGTGACAGAGTGAGTGAGTGACTGAGTGAGTGAGTGACTGAGTAACTGAGTGACTGAGTGGCAGAGTGAGTGAGTGACTCAGTGAGTGAGTGACTGAGTAACTGAGTGAGTGAGTGAGTGACTGAGTGACTGAGTGACAGAGTGAGTGAGTGACTGAGTGAGTGAGTGACTCAGTGAGTGAGTGACTGAGTGACTGAGTGACTGAGTGACAGAGTAAGTGAGTGACTGAGTGAGTGAGTGACTCAGTGAGTGAGTGACTGAGTGACTGAGTGACTGAGTGACAGAGTGAGTGAGTGACTGAGTGAGCGAGTGACTCAGTGAGTGAGTGACTGAGTGACTGAGTGACTGAGTGACAGAGTGAGCGAGTGACTGAGTGACAGAGTGAGCGAGTGACTGAGTGAGTGAGTGAGTGAGTGACTCAGTGAGTGAGTGACTGAGTGACAGAGTGAGTGAGTGAGTGAGTGACTGAGTGAGTGAGTGACTCAGTGAGTGAGTGAGTGAGTGACAGAGTGACAGAGTGAGTGAGTGACTGAGTGAGTGAGTGAGTGACTCAGTGACTGAGTGACTGAGTGACAGAGTGAGTGAGTGACTGAGTGAGTGAGTGACTCAGTGAGTGAGTGACTCAGTGAGTGAGTGACTGAGTGACTGAGTGACTGAGTGACAGAGTGAGTCAGTGACTGAGTGACAGAGTGACTGAGTGACAGAGTGAGTGAGTGACTGAGTGAGTGAGTGACTGAGTAACTGAGTGACTGAGTGACAGAGTGAGTGAGTGACTCAGTGAGTGAGTGACTGAGTGACAGAGTGACTGAGTGAGTGAGTGACTCAGTGAGTGAGTGACTGAGTGACTGAGTGACTGAGCGAGTGAGCGAGTGAGTGACTCAGTGAGTGAGTGACTCAGTGAGTGACTCAGTGAGTGAGTGACTGACTGAGTGAGTGAGTGACTCAGTGAGTGAGTGACTGAGTGACTGAGTGACAGAGTGAGTGAGTGAGTGAGTGAGTGAGTGAGTGAGTGAGTGAGTGAGTGACTCAGTGAGTGAGTGGCTGAGTGACAGAGTGAGTGAGTGACTGAGTGAGTGAGTGACTCAGTGAGTGAGTGAGTGACTGAGTGACTGAGTGGCTGAGTGACAGAGTGAGTGAGTGACTGTGTGAGTGAGTGACTCAGTGAGTGAGTGACTGAGTGACAGAGTGAGTGAGTGAGTGACTGAGTGAGTGAGTGACTCAGTGAGTGAGTGACTGAGTGACTGAGTGAGTGACTGAGTGAGTGAGTGAGTGACTCAGTGAGTGAGTGACTGAGTGACTGAGTGACAGAGTGAGTGAGTGACTGAGTGAGTGAGTGACTCAGTGAGTGAGTCTGAGTGAGTGAGTGACTGAGTGACCCTGGACTGAGGCCCACTCCATCTGCTGGAAGGAGACTGGATTGAGTGACAGTGATGAGTGACTGAGTAGAGTGAGTGACTGAGTGAGTGAGTGACTCAGTGAGTGAGTGACTGAGTGACTGAGTGACTGAGTGACAGAGTGACTGAGTGACAGAGTGAGTGAGTGACTGAGTGAGTGAGTGACTCAGTGAGTGAGTGACTGAGTGACAGAGTGAGTGAGTGACTGAGTGAGTGAGTGACTCAGTGAGTGAGTGACTGAGTGA